CTTAGACAGCCCTTCACGGGAGCCACTGGGAGGCATCTGTGCCTCTGACGCCTCCGCTCGTGGCCTCTCTCCCCTTGGTGTGCAGCAGAGCCGCGAAAGCTGGGAGGCCCCTGCCCTGAAGCTAGCAGACAGACTCGGGAGAAAAGGAGTCAGGAGCCTCAGTGAAAAGAAGCCACTGCTTGAGGTCTGAGGAGACTCTGTGTCCTCGGACAGTCAGTGGGGAAGATACACCCCACACCGTTTAGCGGATACAGGCTCTCCCAGCATCAGACACGCCAGCTGCTTCCTGACGCATGGCCTGGCCATAACTGGTCTTCTCAGAGCCGTGGTTGTGTGCTAGTACATTCACACAGGTGTAAGTCTTCCTGTTACACGTTTATTTACCTTAAATCTTCAAACCACTCAGGAAAACTGAGTTACACATGAGTCACCATCGGCATCTCCTTCACACACACACAGAGCCAGGAACTGGGTGCCCCCAAAATTCCAGCAAATGAGGATGTTCCTTGCAAAGCCTCCTTCCTTCCTAGAAGAGGCAGTTTGGAGGGTGGGGGGAGGGAGAGGAGAGAGAGAGAGAGAGAGAGAGAGAGAGAGAGAGAGAGAGAGAAGGGGAGGAGACAGATGGTAGACAGGACAGGAGGAAGTGGGAAGGGAAGGGAAGGGAAGGGAAGGGAAGGGAAGGGAAGGGAAGGGAAGGGAAGGGAAGGGAAGGGAAGGGAAGGGAAGGGAAGGGAAGGGAAGGGAAGGGAGGGGAGGGGAGGGGAGGGGAGGGGAGGGGAGGGGAGGGGAGGGGAGGGGAGGGGAGTCTCTTGGCTTCCGTTTCTTCATATTTAGAGGAGGATGGTGTCTTTTTTTTTCTTTTTTTTGAAGACACTTTTGGTTCTATAAATCCCCTGGTTCTCCGCACGAGGAGAGAGCAGAGCAGAAGAAAGCAGAAAGGGCTTGTCCAAGCCCACCAGGCTCGCCCACCCGCTGAGTGAGCACGGGCCCTCTGCTGACAGTGGAGGAGAACCAGCTGGGTCTTCAGCAGCAGGGTTGACCAGATGGTCAAAGAGGGAGAAGGAAACAAAGGAAAAAGATAGGACCAGGAATTCCATTTTCTTCCCCAAGACTTTGCTCTGATCTGTCCAAATAAGAAAGACCAGCAGATGAGCCCCAGGAGAATGGGGTTCCCAGAACAATTTCAACCAGCAAGGCTACCAAGAGATGGTGAGGCTGAAGGAGGTCACCCACAGAACTTCAGTCTCCCAAATCAGAGCAGCCACCAGACTAGTTGGTGCTGGGTTTAGGTGTTGAGCTCTGCCTCATCTGTCTGTGCACTCTATTAGTCCAAAGGAGCATTAATCCAGTGCATCCCTCTTACAACTCATTTTAGAATGATGAGATTGAGGATAACTAAGAGACAGAAATGATCCTTCTCCGATCAGAAACAGTTAGGACTCGACTTTGTTTCCGTCATGAAGGCAATTCAGCCCAGGAGGCATCCAATAGATTTGTAACGCAATTTATTTCTCTGCATAAGACAGTAACCCAAATCCATCCTAGTTTGGGCATGTGCTGCCATTTTGAAAAGTCAAAATATTATCACACTCGATTACAGTTGGCATAACCCTTCCCAGAAAATCAGTTTCTCTTTACAAAAGCTTTTAACTTTTCTGGTTAGACATTGTGTTCAAGTAAAGTTTCCTTCGTGGCACCCTTGTCTTTTTCATGTCCAGTATATGAAAAATACAAGCATGGTCAGACCCAGAGGGGGCTCCCTCTGCAGTTAAAGTCTCAGGGTCCTGCCTTACAGAGGCCTCTCCGTTGCTCTGGAAAGTACATAAGCAATTTTTCTCTTGTGACTCAGATTATTTTTCTTGCGAATATCCCAATAACTATGTATATTTTAGGGCCCACAAAACCTACAGCCATCCCTGCCAGTGTCTTAGAGGTACAAAAGCTTTTCTTCCCACTGAGGAGGAGGAATGCTTGATGGGATGATGAAAGAGAAACGCACTGGTAGCCTCTGATTGGAGGATAAGATGATCAGACCAACTGTAGAGATATTCTAGTTTCTCCTACAATGTAAGTTTATTGAACTTGAAAGGCTTTGCTTTGTCACAAAGACAGAAACAAGGGTAGGAAGAATATTTGAGTGGAAGAGTTTGGCAGGGTCAGTATTAAGTCGGACCCTTCATGGTTTGAAGGGATGTGTTCTCCGCGCACCAGGCGGGCCTCGGGTCTGAGATCCCACTGTGAAATGTGCAGAGCTGATGTTTGCAGTACAGTCCCTGGCCAGTGGACAGCAGGAAGTAGATGGATGTTGTCTGGTGATCCTTTGCCCCATGAGAGCTCCTCATGGTAACCCCATTCCTTTACAACAAAAATGTAATGAGAACAGCACCATAGGGTGGGAGTTAGAAAACTTGTCCATCCTTGTCCATCTTCAGAGTTCTCTGCCCATGGCCGCTTTTTCAGAAGGCTGAAAGAATTAATAAACAACCCCCCCCCCAAAAAAAAAAATAACCGGAATAGTTTGGCATGATGGTGGAGCTGCTGACTCCGTTCTCTGTCCTTGAGTGTTTACTGCCAGGAAATCCTGACCAACATTGATTGCCAAGGGGTCCAAGTCACATTGTTGTCACACCGAGAGAGCAGGATTTGGTGCCCTCTGTTCAGTTCTCACAGAGTTGCAAAAACAGGAACCTGGGCTTTCTATGAGGGGACAGGGGAAGTGAGGGGAAGAGTCACAGGGCAATTTATCAGGGCAGAGTTCCAGATAAATGGCTTCCGTGGAGGCGGAAGGATTCTGTGCATGCATTCTGGACCAAGGAGCCAGCAGCTGGGCAGAAGAGGGAGCTTAGGCCCAGGGGAGGAGGAAGGGGCCATGTGCACGTGGTCGGTGCTTGGGCCTACGCAGGTGGATTTCTTTGTCCAGGCCATGCCATCAGATTCTCAAGAAGGACAGCCGGTGTTTCCCCCACAGGAGCGACAGTGCTCTGAGGGAACAGGAAGCCCCGCGCTGGGCTTTCTCAATGCAAACACCTCAGGATGCCCATCTAACTCGTGAAGGAAACTCAGCAGATTCTAACCAGGGTCATTGGCTAGCTTCTCTTCCCTTTCATCCTCTTCCATTCGTACCATCAATTTTTTTTTTTTTGCTTTTGCTTTTTGGGTCACACCCAGCAATGCACAGGGGTTACTCCTGGTTCACGCACTCAGGTATTACTTCTGGCGGTGCTTGGGGGACCAGATGGGATGCTGGGAATCAAACCCAGGTTGGCCGCATGCAAGGCAATAGTTCTACCCGCTGTGCTATCACTCCAGCCCTTGTACCATTAATCTTGAAATAGGAAAATAGATATGTTTTTGAAAACCCAAGAAGAGCCCTTTGCTTCTGATTTTGAATTCGAGCAATGGTTTTCAATAGCCAGCCCCACTCATATGTGCCCATATGCATCCTCTCCCATGAATACACACCTCCATACATGCATGCATCCCACACATAGGCTCACACACATACATATACAAACACACATACACACCACTTCTGAGAAACTGGACAGTCCTCAAGAGAAGAGAGGGAAACTTCCTCTTGACTCCGGGTCCCTCAATTAAGAAAAATAAATGAAAGGCATGCGTTTAATCACAGATCCCCCAGCTGAACCCCAAGGTTCCCTCACTCCTGGAATCAGTGGTTCCAGGTATCCGTTTCTTTGAGTTGGACTCACGGATCTCCTTCTTATATTATTCAAAACATCCATCCCATGTTAGATGCTGTCCTTTGTCAGTTGCCTGGGGGATTTTATATCACGCAAACCTTTGGTTAGTTCTGTGCAAGGGAAGGAGCGAGAGAGCGTTTCATGACATACTGATGTGTTCTACAAAGCATCGGAGTAGGGGTCTGCGACCCTTAGGGAGGGTCGCGCATCTCCTATTGATACTTGACCCCCAGGGCCAGATATTTTAAAAGACAGGCTCAAAGCCCTTTTTTATTTACTTTTGGCAACACACACAACGCAGGCCTTATCCAGCTGCTCTTTCTGCAGCGGATTGCTTCCAGAGTATTAAAAAAGAAATAGACATTTTCTTGGCTCCCTATTCCTAATCTGCTTTCAGGCTGATTTTTTTTTAATAGTGCAATATATTGTACATGCACTCTGTGTTTCGTTTTAGATCTGGGTAGATCCGACCTGAAACTGCAAAACATCTTTCTGTTCAAGTGGGTCTTTTCAACCTGGGGTTGCTGAAATTGCATTTTATTGAAAGGAGGTTAAAAACATATCTCCTAGGAAGCCAAGGCAAACAAGAGGGCTTGTGTCATTTCTGAAAAGCCTCAATAGGCTCCAAACAACAGAAATTGGAACTATTAGCCTGTCAGATGCAAAGTGTTGCAGTGTAAATAGAAAGGAGAAAGAACCAAATTTGGAGAAAGATTTCGGTCACTGGGGTTGGGGAGATAGTACAGCAGGGAGGGCATTTGCCTTGCACACAGCCGACCCGAGTTTGATCCCCTGGCATCCCATAGGGCCCCCCTGAGCACCACTGGGAGTGATTCCTGAGTACAGAGTCAGGAGTAACCCCTGAGCATGGCTAGGTGTGTCCCAAACACTTTTTTTTTTTTGGCTTTTTGTGTCACACCCGGCAATGCACAGGGGTTACTCCTGGCTCTGCACTCAGGAATTACCCCCTGGCAGTGCTCAGGGGACCATATGGGATGCTGGGAATCGAACCAGGGTTGGCCGTGTGCAAGGCAAACGCCCTACCCGCTGTGCTATTGCTCCAGCCCCCCCAAACGCTTTTTGGGGAGGACATCCCCCCCAAATAAGATGTTCCGTGTCAGAGGACAATGAGGAGGCCTAATAAAACTGGGGGGGGCGGGGAGGGAGAAGCGTTTCCTCATTTTGCTGTTGACTGGGGGGTGTCGGTGAGCCGAGCACATGCCCGTCCTGAGACTGCACCATCTCCTCAGCTGCCTCCCTCCCCTCCCCGCCCCCCTCTCTGCTTCTCACCTGCAGCCGTTTGTCATCTACGACATGAACTCCCTGATGATGGGGGAGGACAAGATCAAGTTCAAGCACATCACCCCGCTGCAGGAGCAGAGCAAGGAGGTGGCCATCCGCATCTTCCAGGGCTGCCAGTTCCGCTCGGTGGAGGCCGTGCAGGAGATCACCGAGTATGCCAAGAGCATCCCCGGCTTCGTGAGCCTCGACCTCAACGACCAAGTGACTCTCCTCAAATACGGGGTTCACGAGATCATTTACACCATGCTGGCCTCCCTGATGAATAAAGACGGGGTGCTCATCTCCGAGGGCCAAGGCTTCATGACCCGGGAGTTTCTTAAGAGCCTGAGGAAACCCTTTGGGGACTTTATGGAGCCCAAGTTCGAGTTCGCTGTGAAGTTCAACGCACTGGAATTAGACGACAGCGACCTGGCGATCTTCATTGCCGTCATCATTCTCAGCGGAGGTGAGCAACAGGTTCTGATCCCTCCGGGGAAGGGCCGGGCTGGTGGGAGGGCCGGAAGAATCGTATCAGTCTGTGCTCCCTGCATGCTGTGCTCCCTGCACGTGTTGTACAGAAAAATGCCACAGTCCTGGGCCCCCTTCCATGTGGAGGGCCCCCAGAGGAATGTTCATTTCTCCTGCATGTGCAGGGTCCTTGTTGTGGTCCACAATAGTTTCCCTGGTCAGTTGAACACAGGTGCCCCCTCCTCCTCTTTCTCTCTCTCTCTCTCTCTCTCTCTCTCTCTCTCTCTCTCTCTCTCTCTCTCTCTCTCTCTTCTTTGCCTTTGCTCATTTCCCTTCCAGAAGGCCAGATCAGTCACCATCTGATTTAAATAACGATGGGTCTTGGGATGGAGCGACAGCACAGTGGATAGAGAGTTTCCCTGGCATGGGAGCAATCCAGATTTCGTTTCCAAGTCCCACAAGACTGGTCTCTGAGCACAGAACCAAGAGTAAGCCCTGAGCACCACCATATATGGCAAAAACAACATGTCTAACTTTGCTTAAGATGAGGCTGACTCGGGGCTGGAGCTATAGCACAGCGGGGAGGGCGTTTGCCTTGCACGCGGCCAGCCCAGGTTCAATTCCCAGCCATCCTATAGGGTCCCCCGAGCACCACCAAGAGTAATTCCTGACTGCAGCACCAGGAGTAAGCCCTGAGCATTGCCGAGTGTGACCCAAAAAGAAACAAACCAAAAAAAAAGATGAGGCCGACTCAACACAGGCCAGACTTCTTAACCCTTTTGACCTGCCACCCTTTTCACCCTAGAATGCATCCAAGGGGAAGGCAGCCAGGAGGCTTTCTTATACATCTGTGGATTCCTTATGCACTTGATTTTGAATTAATTTCAGTCATTGCACGTGCTGACCGAATGCTGCTCGCTGGCATTTGCTGTTGCCTAGTGCTTCTTCGTTACCCCCACATAGAGTTGAGTGGGCTCTGGAGGGGGCGGGTAGCACCCCATGGTTTTAGAAACTCGGGCACAGGGGAAGCACCATGAGTCTGAGTCCTAGGACTTGCTTTCCCAAGATCCAAAGAATGTCACTCCAGTGACTGTTCCCCCATCACAAGGGCAGCCCTGGCTGCAGGCTTCCCAGAGTTACTGGTAAAGGAGTGAGCTGGGCTTTAGAACCATCTCAAGTAAGCAGGGAAATGTGTCAGCAAGTCCTAGTCTTCCTGCTCTTATAAGTGCACAAACTAGTTATCCACCTCCCAAGGCCAGGTTTTCTATTCAAGTCTCCTTGTATTTGGCCTCTGCAGCGTGCGTGGAAAGCTTTATTGACTGACATCTCGCTACAAAATGTGTGTGTGTAAAAGACAAGTTTTCCCAAGACACCAGACAACCATCCATCCATTAGCTCTGGGGTGCGTGGTGACCCCAAGAGCAGTGCCCTTTGAAATCAAATGCCTGGAACTTAGTGGTTGTCCTGTGTAAGAGGCATCACAAATGTGAAATAAAGACCAACGGCTAGGTCCATAGTTGCTGGCCAGTGAGGCTACCATCAGCACTGGGCAATGTTCTGTGCTCTAGACATAGCGTCCATCCTGGTCTACATGCCATTGAGATTAGGACAGTCACACCAATGCTGACCCTGCAGCTCCCAGGCCAGGATCAAGTTATAACCCATCTGAAAAATAGCTCCTTCCGGGGTTTGGTTTTGTAAAACATACTAGCCAACGTGTTTTAGTATATAGGGCCAATCAACTTCTGAACCAAATTAACTCCTGAGCGGCAAAGATCTGTGATGAATTCAACAAAGAAGAGGGTTGGGGGAGGGGGGTATAGTGGGTGGGGCTTGCCCTGCACACAGCCTCCCTGTGTCTATCCTTGGCACCCCATGTGGTCCCTCAAGCCCCACCAGGAGTGATTCCTGAGGACAGAGCCGGGAGGAAGTCCTGAGCATGCCAACTGTGGCCCTAAAACAAAAACCAAAAGTCACAGTGAAACATACGGACAAAAATATAGAAATGCATTGGAAATGTGTCCTAAATTTTGCTATAGTGAACATTCTTCAGAGTGAATCTCTGTTGGAATTTTGGGTCCTTTTGTCACTCTAACTTTGCAGAGGTGGGCCTGCTGGGCAGAGAGCTATTTTTAAGTCTTTTGTTATAACACTATCAGGCCTTACCACTTTGTATCCCCTTAAGGGGTACGTTTGAAATAGACCACCCCCAAATGCTTGGTGCCAAAAGAGGAAAGGTTTAAACAAGTCACAATTATGATGGTCCTGGAGATTTCGAAGCTGCCGGTGTTGACGTATATGAGCCTGTGAATCCAAAGTATGAGTTCATATAGGAGAAAAATGCCCTCAACTCTCCAACCCTATTTTGTGAAAATCAAAGATTCGTTAGGCCTTTACATCTTTTATGAGTTGGTCAAGAACAGCTTGATTCGACTTAATGGTGCAGGTACTGACTTGGCCCAGTGCATACTTAAAATGGTACCATTTAAAAGTCCAGGCTCCAAAAGCCAGTCCCTTGATCTTGTCTTCACCAGCTGCATCTCACCAGATCCTTGAGACCCAAGCTGTCAGCCACCAGCGATTAGAATCTTTTCATTCGTGGCTGTGATGAGGTGAGAAGGAAAATCCTATTTATCACTTCAGGCTTCCTAACATACTTATGTGTTTGTATATGTATGAGCTACCATCAGCTGATTTCCGTATCATTGAAGGCAAATCCTCCTGTGGTCAAAATGTACTTCTGTAGATGAGATGCTCCTATGGGAAGCAGATAAGAGTAGCTCAGTTGGGCCCGAGCCATAGTACAGTTAGGAGGGCGTTTGCCTGGCACACGTCCCCCGGGTTCCATCACCAGCATCCTGTCTGGTCCCCTGCGTCCCACCCTAAGTGATTGCTGAGCGCAGAGCCAGGAGTAAGCCCTGAACACAGATGGGTGTAGCCCCCCAAATAAAAATGAATCACTGGGCCCCATGTGTGTTCAGCCGCTAGGAATGGGATTCATTCAGCTCATGGAAGCTGATTGGGGAGAGTCCAGAGAAAAACTGAGTCATCTGCAGCTCCCCAGACTGGGTTCTGGTAGGATCTGTAGGCAGTGAGAGCAGGAACCCAGATCGGGGCTCAGTACTATTTCCCACTGCATGGTTCCCCCCTGTTCTGGGTTTTCCAGAAAGGGAAAACATATCATGTCAAGCATGAGGTGGGATGCGGGAAACAGAAGTCTGATCTGGACCCGATGAACACAGTCCGATGTGAACCTGATGCACGAAGGGAGCACTTTGGGCCGCCACCCTGATCCCCTACTGAGCTAGTCTGGAAATCAGCAGAACTTCCACCTGGCAGGCACACACCCCACAGAAAGTAAAAAGAGGGGGGTGAGCCCCACCACGGGACAGAGGGGAGTCAGGGAGCACAGAGATTAAGGCCTTGGAAGGTCCGAAGGGAGCTTCGCGGGTTGGATTGGGTTTTTTCAGGAAAGCAGCTGCCTTGACCCAGCTAAGTATTAGCTGATGAGACTGGGGGTGCAGCAGCGAAATGGCTGTGACTGCACATCACCCCAAAACTGCCAATGCTGTTCCATCTGGTCCTTGGGAGGCCTCAGCAGTCGACTTTCCACCAGCTCTCAAACAAAGATCACGGAGGAGGAGAGCCTTCATCTCCAAGCATTCCTCTGCCTCTGAGCCGAGTCGAGGATAAACCTAGAAAGACCAACTTAGGTCTGGAGGGATAGTGCAGCAAGGAGGGTGTCTGCCTTGCATGTAGCTGACCCAAGTTCCGTCCCCCGGCATCTCATATGATCCCCCCGGCACTGCCAGGAGCAATTTCTGGGTGCAGAGCCAGAAGTTACCTCTGAGCATCACACGGTGTGCCTCTCCAAAAATAAATAAATAAATAAATAAATAAATAAAAGTAATGACCACAGAAGGTTCACTTGGTTCCTTTTCTCAGAGGGCTTCTGTAGGATAACATTGGTTTGTCCTTTCTGCCTTGCCACAGAGAGCTTAGATCTATGGGGTTACTCCCATCACAGTGCTCCCGCTCCTCTGTGTTTATTTGTAACCTCTTTCTTTGTGCTCTGCTAACTTGTAAATATTGCTTTTCTCTTCTCCTTAAGTCCTTTGCATAGTTAATTCAGAGCAATGTTCTTTTTGTCTGGACACAGGAACACAGTTAATGTTATGCTTTTGTAACTTGGGAGTTAATTAACTCTGAATAATATTCACCCCTGGGCATCTATCTGTTCTCTTGACTTAAGTCTCAGTTGCCCTTACTTCCTAGCACCCCAAAAACAGGGTCCAACAAGGGACTGGATGGACCCAGGGCAAGCAGTGAGCTACCCTGGCATCAAAATGGGCCTGGCCAAAGCACCATAATACTTAACTATAAGTTAAGAGCACGGTCATGGACAAATTCTGTCATGATCCAAAAAGTAATAACTAGATTCAGACCCTGCTAAGGTTAGGAAAGATTAATCTGGCCTGAGCACTGTATTCTGAGTCTGTGGCAAGATGTCCCCAGGAGGGCCACCCTACAAGCTCAATGTATCTCTTACTGTGTCCATACAAAATAACTAATATTAAGAAGTAGAATTAAGATGTTAAATAAGTTATTGGGCTAAGGAGAGGAAAAACACCCCTAGGTGGTATTTCCTCCCTTAAGCCTGATCAGGGGATCAGGAAGGACTTTTGATATGTTGATTTTGCTACCAGATGGGGTGTGGTGTCTACCCCCAATGTTGAGAGTTGGAGAGAGGAGAGAGACCAGGGCAGCAAGATGGAATGCAGAGAGACGAGCAAAGTGGACAGAGGGAGAAGAATGTAGGGGAAGAATGCAGGAGTAGGTGCACTCAGAGACGAGAAATGCAGCTACAAGAGGGAGCACGGAGAGATGAGTGGGAGAGACGGGAGGAGACGGGAATGAGGGACAGCGTGAGACTAGGATGGGCAGCTTAGTGAGACTGGAACAGGCGTGTGGGGAGAATGGAATAAGCGGCAACTGATC